TTCCTCAGGGAGGGGGAAATAATACCACATCAAAAAGTTAAGCCAAGTGGAAACCTCAAGCCACCATATCCAGAGCAAAACATCTCCATCATGGATTATGTAGTTTTCTTATCCCAAACTCACATGCCTTTACAAATCTAGACCACCTCAAATTTATTTTTATATTGATCAGAAGTTTATTTTCTTAAATTCAATACTTACTATGGTTTTGTTTCCATTTGCGGATGTGTTTTCCTTTGCTATTAAAGTCCATATCCCAGCGACTTTGTGAGAAAAATTAATTAATTTTAACTGAATACAATATGATTACCAAGAGCTCTGGTGGATTAGGAGGTAAACAGCTGTGCTGTAAAAGCAAAGGCACACAGTTCAAATCCACCAGCTATTCCATGGAAGAAAGATGGGCAGTCTCCTCCCATGCAATTACCTGTCCCTGAAAACCCACTGTACAGTCAGCTATGAGTCAGTTCTTATTCAACACTACATAACAAAACTAAAGATTGCCTGAGTCCCTTGGTGATGTAAAAAAGCTAACTACTAACCAAAATGTTGGTAGTTTTAGCCCACCCAGATGTTCCTCAGAAGAAAAATCTGGATATGCACTCACAAAATCTTGTTGTTGTTGTTGTTGTTGTTGATGATGTTATGTACCTTCAAGTCACTTGTGGCTCAAAGCGACCCTGTGTACAACAGCCCTAAACTCTGCTCTGTCCTGTGCCAATTGCACTGTCGCCAATACACCCATCCTGATTTTTTTGTAAAATTTAAAAAAAAAAAACTCAACAACAACTTTACAAAACATTAGCCACTGAAAACTCTGTGGTGCCTAGCTCTCCCCTGACACACCGAATCAGGACTCTATAGCTTGATTGGCTCAATGGCAAAGTACCGTCAAAGTGCTCATACTTCAACACTGAAAAATATTTTCAAAAGCTACACTTATGTAATTAAAAAGCAAGGAGCTCTAGTGGCAAGTTTGAAGTCTGTTACACGGACCTAAGGAACAAAGGCAGTTGAGAAAGTCAAAAGAGCCTGTCCACGTGAAGTTGGGGCAGAAAGGAAAATCAAAGGAATCTGCTCACACACACTAGCACGTTCCAGCACTCCAGCTTACGCAAGCTTACTGATACACATCTAGCTAAGAATTTGCTAAAACATGAACCAATTTAAGGGAAACATCAAAGACCTGACATTAAGAGTATTGTCTTAGCATGTAAGGAATAGTGCCTTAGAAACTCAGAAGACTGTTTTTCAGAAGACAAGCAAGACTGGATGAAATGGAGTTGCATGCACACACAGCCAGGGCTTACAGGACTGAGCAGTGATCTAAAGTCACAGACAGTTCAAAGAAGAGAGTGGAACACCAACCACAGACAACAGTGATCTTATGCCTGTGCCAAAAATTTACTAACGAGTCTTGCCATCTCCTCCCAAACTCCCTTACATATATCTTGAATTGTGTGCACAAAGGATTTAGAAGGAGAATTGTAGCTATCCAATCCAAGCCATGAGAACGCCACACCTCCTTTAGTCCTAAAAACAACTCCTCCCAATAAGAAACCAACCCAAAAAGCTCTGAACATTTGTTGCTTGTAGATACATGCTTGAGTTCCTCCCAGGCCTTAAATGTCCTTCTCCTGTAAGATTTTCTTGTTCTCTAATAAAGCTATACCTTTTTTGGCACATAAATTTCCTTTTGGATAATTGTCTTTCTAGTCATCATTTAGAGCCAGCATCTGGCAACATCATTGCTAGCCAAAAGGCCACATCTCTAATACACTAGCATCTCTGAAAAATGTGGCAGTCCATTTCTGTTTCTATTTGTAGCCTCAGAACTCAAAGAGAGGGTCACTAACTGAGGGGGACCTGAGGTATTTGCTGTAGAAGAACAAGGACTACAACCTTCAATATGGATTTAAGCTCAATATCAAGAAAACAAATATTCTCACCATTGGGCCAATTGGCAGCATCACGACAGAACGCGAAGAGACTGTGCGTGTTAGCAGCTTCAGCTTGCTTGTCTCCACAATCAACACTCTTGGTATCAGCATCCAGGAAATAAAAAGACAAAATGGACTGGGAAAATCTGCTGTTAAGAACCTCTCCAGAGTACTGGAGAACAATGATGTCAGTCTAGAGACTAAGGTGCACCTGATCCAGGCCATGGTCTTCACAATTACTTGCTATGCTTCAGAAAGCTGGACAGTAACTAAGGATGATAGAAGGAGAATGGATGCCTTTGAGTTGTGGTGCTGTAGAAGAGTATTGAATTAACCATGGACAGCTAGGAGAAAAAACAGGTATGTCCCAGAGAGGGTGAAACCAAGCTGCTTCTTGGAGGCAAGAATTTTTAAGCTCTATCTGAAAAATCTGAGCATATTGCAAGCCGGGCTCAGTCCGTGAAGAGGGACATCATGCTTGGGAAGGTGGAGGGACAGCACAAAAGAGGAAGACCCTGGATGAGATGGATTGGCTCAGTGTCTGGGGAATGGGGGTAGGTGTCAGAGACAGTGAGGTGACTCAAGATAGAGCAAGGTTCAGAGCTGTTGTACATAGGGTCGCTATGAGTCACACGAGACTCAATGGCATATAACAACAGCAATGTGAAACAACATATGACCAAGAGGCAATGGTGATGTAGAAGGGAGTTTAAACTGCTCTGAAAGAACTGGCAAAACACAGGGCTCCAGGAATTGATGGGATACCAATTGACATATTTCAGCAAGCAGATGCTACCTTAGACGTGCTCACTGGGTTGTATCAAGAAATCTAGAGGACAAGTACCTGGCCAACTGACTGGAATTGATCTATATTTATTCCCATTCCCAAAAAAAGGAGATCTAATAGAATATGTAAACTGTCGATCAATATCACTAATATCACCCACAAGCAAAATTTTGCTGAAGATTATCCAAAAGTGACTGGAACAAAGAAGTAACAGAAGTACAAGCTGAGTTTAGAAGAGGCTGTGGCACTATGGACATCATTGCCAATGTTAGATGGATCTTGGCTGAAAGCAGAGAGCACCAGAGGAATGTCTATCTGGGTTTCATTGACTATGCAAAGACATTTGACTGTGTGGATCACAACAAATTGTGGCTAACCTTGTAAAAAATGGGAATCCCAAACACTTGACCTGTACTTGGACTAGGAAGCAGTCTTCAGAACAGAGCAAGGAAGCACTGCATAGTTCAAAATTAAAAAAAAAAATTAAAAAATACTGATTCAGGAATGCATCCTGTCTCCATATTTTAATGTAAATGTGGAACAGATCACTCAGGAGTCTGTTTTATATGAAGAAGAAAGTGGTATCAGAATTGGAGGAAGACTCATCAACAACTAGTGTTAAGCAGATGACACAACCCTGTTCACTGAAACTGAGGATTACCTGAAGCATCTGCTACAGAAAGCCAAGGACTGTAGACTTCAATATGGATTGAAGTTAAACATCAAGAAAACAAAGATTCTCACCACTGGATTGATTTACAACCACCATAATAGATGGGGAAGAGATTGAGATTGTTAACAATTTCAGCTTGCTCAGGTCCACCTGTAGGCTCTAGCAGCCGGAAAATAAAAAGACAAATTGGATTAGAAAAGTCTGCTGTCAGGGACTTCTCCAGAGTGCTGACAAGCAAGGATTGGCTAGTCTAGAGACTAAGGTATATCTGATATAGGCCATGGTCTTCACAATTACTTGTTATGCATCAGAGAACAGGACAAGGACTACAGATGACAGAAGAATTGATGCCTTTGAACTGTGATTCTAGAGAAGAGTATTGAACTACCAAGAGAACAAACGGGTCTATCCTAAAAGAGGGTGAAACCAGGATGCTCCTCGGACTGAAGGATTTCTCCATCTCACATACTTTGGGCCTGTTTCTTGGAGGAACCAGTCCTTGGAGAAGGACATCATACTTGGAAGCATGGAGGTACAGTGCAGGAGAGGAAGACCCAGGATGAGATGGACACAGTGACAATGTTAATAGGGGCAGGTGTGTTGGAGACCAGTGAGATTAGCTCAGAATAGGGCAGGGTTCAGAGCTATTGTGTATGAGTCACAACCTAACTCTAACCCTAACCATAAGCCTCAATGAGATGGACTGACACAGTCGTTGCAGCAACGGGATCAAGAGGTCAGAGATTTTGAGGACGGCACAGAACAGGACAGGGTCAAATCTGTTGCACATAGGGTCGCTATGAGTCATACATCTGACTTCACCGTTCCTAACAATAACGAGTCAGAACTATCTCCGACAGTGAGAAAAATGTCAAAGTATAAATCCATTCCATTTTTTTTTTTCTTTTCTTCACTGTTCTATGTCTTTGGGATAATTCCATGTACTTGACTCAAAGGTAGAGAGCTGTGGACGGTTTTAGGTGGTTTGTTTTGGTGGGGTTTTGTTTTGGGAGGTCCCTGTGTTTGGGGGGGGAGTTGTTTTTAATGCAACAAAAGCATATTCTTGCTATCTGCATCATTTTCTGGGCACCATTTTATTCCTTTCAGCAAAGAATCTGGAAGGTGGAGGGTTGGGGGGAATTGCGGTCATGGTATCAAACATATCAGTTCACCATCGCCCAGGGCCTGACAGGTGGTCCTCATACAGGCCCTGAAACAACCCCTCATCCCCGCCTTCAGGCCCTGCGGGCGCCTTTCCCATCAGATACATTCTCAACGAGCTCCATGGCCGAACGTACCAATGCCCTAAATGCCACTACAGCTGACGCAGCACAGAGAAATTCAACAGCCAGCTTTTCCCACACTAGAGGGCGCCTCGTTACTCTGGAGCTGGCCAGGCACTCGCGCCTAGCTCGCCTCTGTTGGAAATGGTCAACACCCCTTCTCCGCCCTTCCCCCCAGGTTGCCAACTAGGCAGGCTCTTTTGCGCATGCGCAAAGACGTCCACCACGCACCTGGCTACGGCGCATGCGTCCTCCGAAATTCGCGTCTGCCCACGAGTTTCCAGTTCCGGCTCCAAGGGGCGGGAGAAGCTGGGAAGATGCGTTTGTCGGTCGCTGCCGCCATTTCCCACGGCCGCGTGTTTCGCCGCCTGGGCCTTGGTCCAGAGTCACGTATTCACCTATTACGGAACTTACTTACGGGACTCGTGCGACACGAACGCATCGAGGCGCCATGGGCGCGCGTGGACGAGATGAGAGGCTACGCCGAGAGGGTGAGAGGCGTGGCCTCGCAGGGTTGGTGCTGGCGGGACCCACTAGTTCACCCCTGGGATCTGGCCAGAGCGGGGCGGGTCTGCTAGATTTCAACAGTGAGACCTCCCTGCCCAAAGTTGGAACCCCATACTACTCCGAATGTCATGTTTGGAGTCGACCTCAGCTCATTGCAACCCTGTGAACAGCAGATCTCAATCCTGTGCCGTCCTCACCATCTCTTATACCCTTGAGGCCATTGCTGCAGTCACGGTGACAGTCCATCTCTTTGGGCTTCTTTCTCTGACCTCCCACCTTTACAAGCATGGTAAACCTTAGCAAGGACTAGCCTCTACTAGCAGCATGTCCAAAGTTTGTGAGACGAAGCTTTGCGATCTTTACCTCCAAAGAGCACTCCGGCTGCATCTTTTCCAAGACAGAGCTGAGCTGTTCATTGTTTTGACAGTCCATGCTTTTCTGGCACTTCTAATGGAAGACTGTCTAATTCAGAATTGAGGGTGGGTGTTGCACATGGGATGAAAATGGTTTGTCATTGGGCAGTAGAGGAATACTAATTTGGCATCACATCTTCTGCTCGTATTGGATTATTAATAGTATTATATTGATTTTTACTACAGCTTATAGACTATGGGAAGCTGGGAGACACTAACGAACGAGCCATGCGTATGGCTGACTTCTGGCTGACGGTGAGTTCATCTGACCTGTCTCCCAACCCTTTGGTTGAGGGAGGAGGTGATTTGTTAGTGAAAGGGTAATAAAGGAATTAAGCTAGAGTCTTTACTGCTTGACAGATAGTGTGAACTAAATTAGAAATATTTTAAGTAAGTTGAATTTATATGTGAATCTGAAACTTCACTACTCTCTGTAACTGACTTCTTTCTGTAGCTTTGACTCTACCAAAAGGGATAGGTGTATGTATGGGGGCAGGGGAGGAGATGGGGGCTGGTATTTCTTAGTGACTGAAAGTTAACTAACTCTGCAGTGGTACCTGACTCTGCTCTTTCATTACCCTCCTCTTTTAGGAGAAGGATTTGATTCCAAAGCTGTTTAAAGTGCTAGCCCCTCGATTCCAAGGTCATAATGGAGGCTACACAAGAATGGTGCAGATCCCAAATAGAAATGAACAGGATCGGGCCAAGATGGCAGTGATCGAATACAAAGGAAACTGCCTCCCACCCCTGCCACTGCCTCGCAGAGACAGCAACCTCACACTCCTAAACCAGCTGCTGCGGGGGCTTCAGCAAGACCTCGCTCAGAAAGAGAAAGCCAGCATTCACAGCTCCTCCACACCTGAAACACCACGAATGTAACTAGGGCAGGAACGTCTGTGACCATGTTCTCGGACCTTTGACATTCATTCTCCTGATCTCTGAGAAAAACTGTGCATAGAGGTGTAAAATGAATAGTCTTAATGGGCCCATAACCTTCTGGGAAAGCAGATAGTCCTCTTTTTGCAGAACAGATAAAATCTACCATTTAAATATGTGTAAATGGATTGTTTGATATTCCCCCTGGAATTTCCACAGAATGAGAACTGTCCAAATGCTCAAGCTACCGGGAGTAGAAAACTCGGGTTTTAGGTTCTTAGTTTGTATTTGGTTAGCAGTTTTGCTTTCCTTAATGCAAGTGCGATATGTATCCTTTAATTAATTGCAACTTGGCTCCCAAAAATGATTGCATTTGACATCTAGCTTAGAGACCTACCACCACAAAGGCACACAGTTCAAACCCACCAGCTGCTCAACTCATAAAAGATGAACAGTCTTCTCCCATGCCTCTGTAAACCCACTGGAGAGTCGGCTATGAGTTGTTTCCTGTTCAGTAGTACACCATGACATTGGTGGGCGGAGTGAATAGCTGGAAGTAACCTCTAACCAATTCTTCAGTAATCTTCAGAGGACCCTTAAACCATTACTTTGTTTCTAGACAGGATCACACATTACTCTCATGTCCTCCCCTCTCGTACTGAACAGCCATTGAGGAAGAGGACATGAGAACTTTAAACCCCACCAAAAGCTTAAAGTCATTCAGCAGAGAATATTGGAATCCAGGAAAAGTTCCTTCCTTTGTTGGAGAAGGATTCGGAAATAAATTTGCTGGGAATTTCCTGGAAGTCTTTATTGTTAGATCTGGGCTTGATGGGGACTCAGAAAAGGGAAATCCGGCTTCAGAAAAGCCAGGGAATGTGAGAAACACAAAGCTAGTTTATAATCACCAATAAATTGTGAAGCTAGGTTTGAATCTAGTCAACCTGCCCGATTTTCATATTTGACAAGCTTGTTATGGGAAGATTGAAAAAGGTTTACCCACTTGCCTAAAAATGTGACAGCTGCCCTAAAACTTAATATGACAGCTGCTATATTACTGGATTAAGAAGATGAGATTTTCTCTAAGACTGGACCTTCAGTATATTTTTGCCCACAACCCACACATTGAGATAATAAGGGGGAGGAGAGGGGGAATCACTGGTCTAAAATACAGACATGAGCTTCGGTGATGGAATTATTACTGTGGTGTTCCATTACAGCTGCTCTACTTTGATACTGGTACCAAAGAGGATTCTCTATGTATTTTCCTCTACTTCAGTTTATCTTTGACACTAAACCTCACCCAGCAGATAATACCTTCAAGTCCATCTAGCACCTCTTATAATAAATTTCAAAACCAGAAAGGAGGCTTGGGCAAAAATAAATTGTCCCATGTCCAAGATTCCCTGTCAAACTATATACATAGTTCTCTGCAGCATAGTCAGCAAAGTAATCCTCACCCTCTCCTCAAAAGATAACACGAGGCTCAAACCAGCAACAGCAAAAAGGCTCCATAATCCGTAGTAGACACAGCTAGGAAAATCAGATTGCTTTCCTTCCACAGTTGAATTGGGAAATTGGGTTGATTTTACATAAAACTTCTTGCTTGTTCAGTCACCTCCCTACAATTACAGTCGATATATAGGACATCTAATTCACCTCCTTTCAATCCGTAACTTTAGATACAAATCTGGTCATTTCAGTCCCTTGAAGATCTTTAGTGGCTCCTCTTCCTCCAGGAAAGAGTCCATCTTCCTTGCCATGACTCCTGCCCTTGATCTAGTATCTGCTCACTACCTCTCATGCTTCCGAAGCCTTATTTAAGCTCTCTGCCTGTGCAGTTTTTGTTCATGTGGACCTTAACCACTTGGAACCCTTCACCTTTTGCCTACTTAGCTTTGGCATCTCGCTCTTCTGACCATCCCCACACCAAAATGTTTTACTGTGTCAACTCAAGTGCCTCTATAATTCTTCCATAATATATAGAATTTCCTCTATTGCATCTTTGTTCACAACAGTGAAGGGAGCACCAATAGCCTAGTGGTAAGGAATTATGCTGCCAACCCAAAGGCAAGCATTTCAAATCCACCAGCTACTTGTTAGGAAGATGGGCTGTCACCTCCCCTGCCGTTTACAGCCCCTGAAAACCTCCTAAAGAGCCAGCCACAAGTCCCTTCTTACTCAAGGACATGTAGCAACACAGTGAGTTCTCAAATATCCAACCCAGATTAGTCTGAAGTAGTCATGGTATTTCTGTCCCCTTGCTGCTGGTGAGTTCAGAAAAAGGCCGAAACTAATTTAAGCCAGTGAAAATCCAAGCTATATTCTGCCTGAGACTATGTAGTATGTAATTCTGAGGGTCACTGGGGATACCAGCAAGGCTGGAACAAACAGAATGGCAGATCAGAACTAAAATCGGACCCTTAACAATATTGTCAAGATACAGTACCTAGAGATCCCAAACTCAAACTGAACTCTTGATTGTGTTGAAATAATATTCTTAAGGCACACACATGAAAAGCATTTTCTATAAAGACTATTCACATACATCATCGAAACAAAAACTTCATGAAACATTTACTTTCACAAATGTATTCTATAAACACAATGTTGTGTTTCATCGAGTCGGATCCTACTGGCTTGGGAGGAGATTGCCCCTCCTGCAGCAGAGCATCTGATGGATTCGAACCACACACCTTCGGGATTGCAACACTACACCAAATTTTGTGGGTTTTTTTCTTTTTGAGTCTTTATTCTCTGCCCAACATTCACATGCATATGAAGCAATTAAAAAGGACCATGGCTAGAACAAGTACACCTTGGTCTTTAATCTGATCCCATGTTTCTATAGTACTTTAATGAAGGTTATTTTTTAAATTCTTTATTTCAATGAAAATTTACAGAGACTTTGGGTTTCCATTCATTCATTGTTGCACTTTTCTCCCCTCCCAATCCTCCCCCCCTAGTATACCACCCTCTCAAAAGTAAAAGAAAAATTCTTTAATTGTTTTACAAACCCTCCCCCAGGTCCACTCCACTACAGCCTTTACTCTGGACTCCTGTCATGACAAAAATACTTAATCACATATCCCTTTTTAAGTTTTCTTCCTCATCTGTTTCAATGCAGTATACATTATTGAACCCATTTTTCTCAGTCTCCCCCCAACCCCGATGTCAGTCCTGTTTTAAAACAGTGGCACTATGCAGTATTTGTCCTTTTGTGACTGAGATACTTCACTCAGCATATGTCCTCCAGGGTCACCCATTTTGAATAATATTGCATGAGTTCTTTATTTTTCAATGCAGTGTAGTATTCTATTGTGGGAATATACCACAGTTGCTCTATCCATTTGTTTGTTGATGGGCACTTAGGTTGTTTCCAACTCCTTGCTATTGTGAACAAAGCCACAACAAACATAGGTGTGCATTACACCAAATTTTTAAACTATTTTTACTTCACTTTTAAAATACTTTTCCCAGGGGAGCTCTGGTGGCCTAGTGGCAAGAAGCTGCACTGCAATCCCAGAGACGCATGGTTCAAATCCACCAGATGCTCTGCCGGGAAAGGAGGGACAATCTCCTCCTGTACCAGTCAGATCTGATCTGATGGTACACAGACACACATACACAAAATTTAAAAAAAAAAAATACTTTTCCCATGGTTCAAATCCACCAGATGCTCTGCTGGAGAAGGAGGGACAATCTCCTCATGTACTAGTCAGATCCAATTTGACGGTACACACACAAAAATAATAAAAATCTAAAATACTTTTTCCAATATACTAAACCAATTTTGTAATCCACTAATGGTTTTCATTCTGCTATTTGGAAAACATTGGTTTCAATTAATGTTTCAGTGGCTCACCTTTGCCCTCACTGGATATAATTCAGGTGTTTTAACCTGACCCACAAAGCTCTATGTAATTCTTCCCAGTCACCTCCTCAGCCCCCTCTCATTAGTTACTCTTCATAGGATACTACTTGTTATTCTCTGAGAACATGTCTTTATACATGATGTTCTCTCTACTATAATAGTCTCTCGACTTCCCTGTCATAAGTCTCACTGAAAAGTCACTTTGAGGCATTATTCGAACCTCACATCACTGTCTAATCTGGGCTAACTCCCCTCCTGTGTGCCATGACAGCCTTCTTTGCATAACCCCATCTAAACATGGCTGCTCCTTGGAGGCAAGGATTCTGAAGCTCTGTCTGACATTTTGGACATGTTGCAAGGAGGGACCAGTCCTTGGAGAGAGACGTCATGCATGGGAGGGTGGAAGGACAGCACAGAAGAGGAAGTTCTCAATGAGATGGATTGACTCAATGACGAGTAATGGGGGTAAGTGCATCAGAGACAATAATGTTGATCAGGATAGAGCAGGGTTCAGAGCTGTTGTACATAGAGGGTCACTAGGAGTCTCAGGCAACTTGACGGCACATAACAACACAACTTTCTTAGTAACTACTACTAGCATAGGGACAGATGAAACAATGGGTGGCCCGTATATATTTATTAAATGAGAAGCTACACGTGATGTGTGTCCTATTCAAACTCTGACTGGGCTTTATAATAAACCCAGTGTTGTGTCAGGTTAAGTGCTAGGCTCCCAACCAAAAGTGACCATTCAAACTTAACAGGTGTTAAACAGACAAAGATGAGGCAGTCTGCTTTCATGAAGTAATTACTGGATTCCCCAGACAAAGCTTGACATTTGTAATGGTTTAATTTCACTGTATATCCTTTATTGTGAAAATGATCTGTGTATGTTGTTCGCCATCACTAGATAGCAAACTCGTCAAAGGCAAAGTAACTCATCTAATTCACCTCTACCATCACCCAGCAGAGAGCATATGGCAAGAGAGTTTTTTAAAAGAATGATTGCATGTGTTGAACTGAATTCTCCAGCCTAGCTCTGCATTTTAAGCTAACTCCTCCCTTCCCCTGTTCCATTTCCTCTTACTTCATCAGAAAAATAACTTCCTGCAAAGCTGATACCCTATTG